GAAGCCTGGCTTAGCGAGGTCTTGCGCGACTTCTCTTGCTTTGCTAAGCTTGCTCTACCGTGTCGACAGGCTGTGTATATTGGTATTGATGCACGAGGCGCACATTACACCACATATAAGCAAGGTACGGTGCATCAACAGACTGTCACCCACAACAACATCCCCTCCACAATTCCCACCCAAGAAAAGGCACTGCGCATTTATGTCTACGATCGGCAACCTGCTGTCTACCATTGCTTCTATGGGGTCCATCGGGACCCTTTGCCCCTATGACGACGATTCGTGACGTGGTGATCAAGGCAAGGTCTACGACCTTCCTTGATCACCTCAATGCCTATGTTGCTTGTCGTAGACATCGCGCACGTGTCAGATCCCTCAACAGCATTCTCCTTGCCTACAACCTGCCACTCACCTATCCCACAACACGTGAGCTGACTCTCATGGCCAATGACAGCCGACCTTTTAACCTAATCGCTGCTATCAATCTTCAGCTCCCAACAGAAGAGTTGAACTTGCACTGAATCTCATAGCTGACAGGCTTGTTCCTTACTTCGACACGATCCCAAAGGAGCCGTGCAAGCTGCAGGCTGTCGTTAGTTGGAACGTTACCTCGCTGTGCACCTTCGACACTATTGGCCTTGCCAAGCTTCGTACCATTGGTGCGTTAGCTCACCAAACGCCCGTGCTTTTGCAGGAAACCAAATGGAATGCTGCCTGTTTACACCGATTCAGACAGGCAACAGCCAGAATAAATACGATTGCCTCTCTCGCTATTTGGAAGGAATCTGGACACTCTGGAGGAGTTGCTGTCTGTTTGCCACAGGACTATAAAGTCGTAGAAACTGTTGACCTTGTGCCTGGTTTTGCCCTTGCCGTGCTGGTCAGATTTCGGTCTGTCTGCTACTGGCTCCTGTCGGTTTATTGGCACCCTGATCAATGGGGGAAGCTTTTCCCTGCACTTAGTGCTTTTGTCAAGGATGCAACTCATGTGGTTGTCCTTGGGGGGGACTTCAATGCTGTTAATCAGCAGAAGGAGGGTGAGTATGCACATCTCCTTGCTCAAGGCGACATGATTGAATGCAAGTCTGACAGGCCAACTTTCGAGCAAGGCTCTACCTGCAGTCACCTTGACCATTACCTTATTTCCAGTTCGTTGTACTTGTCCGCCAAGATCTGTTCTGTCTCTTGGAAGCACAAAAAAGTAACTGGAGGACATCACTTGGTAAAGATTCGGTTTCGGCCGAAGCATAAGCTTGACAAAGATGTCCCGGCGATACCTGTTCGGACAGTTCCTGCTGCGGCTTTTTCTGTTCCACCTGCGACTACTGACTTGCCTGGCATCGAGGCTGCGGAGACTAGCCCTTCGCACCTTCTTCTTCGTAAACTAATTAATTGCACTAAAGCCCGCTTGATTGAAGAGCAGAACAAAGGTCAAAAACTCTGCCCTTCTGACGCGCTCGTTGCACAAAAAGCCACATGTTTCTTGTGGCATGCAAACCTACGTGCCCAAGCTGGAAACTCAATTGCTGCATTAATTAGGAAGTTGGTACGCCTTTTGAACAGGAGCACTGGTGCGACTGTCGGTGTCAACGCCAGCACCGTCACATCTTTAGCCAGGCATATCACCATACCCCCTTTCACGCCGTCAGGTAATGGTTCAGCCGAGCTCCCGAGACATTGGCTTCAAGAAGCGCTTAATCGGCTACACCTTGGTGCAGAGCTGAAAACTGCCTCCTCACCAAGTCTTCGTTCCCTGGTTGCTCAAAGAGATTTGCAGGTTGATAAGTCTAAAATTAAGTGGCAGGCCTTCAGGAAGATCTGCCCTCGAATCATCGATTCGCAACAGGTCAGAAGCGAAAATGGCCAGCTGATCACATCTATGAGTCAGTTTGATGCTGCACTAAGGGCAACTAGAGCCTTTTGGCACCACTTCCCTTGTCAATACGATAACCAGTGGGACAAACTCCTACAGCCATATGCGCAAAGGGCCCCCTTCGTGCCGGCTGACTTACCAGATGAAAGCATCATCTTCAAGGCCATTATTACCACCAAGGATTCTTCCCCGGGTCCCGATGGTGTGCCCTATGCCTTCTATAGGCAAAATCCGAGTTATTTTGCCAACTTACTTGGGGATCATATGTGGGAGATGTGCTTGTCTCAAGCTGATCATCCGCTTCAGGCCTTAGTCTTCATTCCCAAGGCAGACAAGGGTGCGTACGCGGACAACTACAGGCCACTAGACATGCCCGATACTTGTGATCGAATCATTGACTCCGCAATCTACGCTGTCCTTGCTGAGTCTTTCAAAGACTCGCTACATCCTGCCCAGGCTCTTCTTAATCACTTCAAAGAACCACAGGCAAATTATGCCCAAATGCAACACTACTTGGAGCTCAAAGATGCCCAGTACACAGTCATGCTTTCCGACTTTGCCAAGGCCTTTGAACGGGTGAATCCCTGGTGGGTACTACAGTGCTTAGCGGCAAGAGCTGCCCCTGCCTGGATCAAAGCTTACGTCATCCACCTTATGTTTGGGAGGCGCACCCAGCATAAAGTGCAAGGTTTCTTGCTCGAGCCTATCTCCATCCACCAAGGCCTTGCTATGGGAAGGGCGACTTCTGTTGTCCTTTTCTGTCTCGCCTTAGATCCCTTAATTTGGGCGCTGCGCGACATTTCTTCCTTCATAAGACTAACGGCTTACATGGACGATAACAGCGCTGCCTCCAAAGGCCTGCATTGGGTGGAAAAGGCACAAAGAACTTTCGAACCAGCGCACAGCGCGGGGTTACAAGTTCTCCGTCACCAATGCTTCCAAGCAGGGTTTATTTCTTTACAGGTTCTCCCTGGGGATGTCAGAGCATGCATAGCCCAATTTGGTGTCGCTTGGATTGAGTCCAAACAGCTTCCACCGAGCAATACTCTCACCATTGGAGGTCCCTCATTGCATCAAGCCTTGTGCTTACTGCTTCAACAGAACATCTACAGCCTCGACCAAGCAAATGAGGATGTCCTTGACTAGGCTTGACGTGCGACACGGACTGCTCTTCGTAAGCGGAAGCAAATGCTACGTCCTGTCTAGCGATATGCTGCTTTGCATGTGCACACAACAGCAAAATTTCCAGGCTTTGTTGGCTTGCATTATTGCATCGCCTTGCAAATGCAAATGCAAAACTTCTATTCTTACCAACAAGCCCTTCAAAACTGCTGATATCCTTCTCCTCGACATGACGCCTTGGGGGTCTAAGATTATTGCTGAGACTGCAACAATGTTGGGCTTTATCCTGCGTGGCCGCATGTCAAAATATGAATGGGAGCAAGCAACGTCTATTGATGAAATCCATTGGGTTGGACAAAGGAAAATGTCAGATGTTTCCTTGCGCATGCTGATCCTTGATAAGGCCTTGTGCAATATGTTGAGAAGGAATAAACAAGCTCTTTCCCTTACTGCATCAATGCCTGCCAGGATTCAATTCCATACGGCCTTCATTGCCTCTTGCCCTCTTTTCTGCAATTCCTTGTACGCCTTCACCAAAAGGCATATGCTCAAAGCACTAGCTATTGCCAGCTCAACTATTTTGAGGCGTCCCTGGATTCAGGCCAAACATATGGCGGGCGTTTTTGATTTTATCAAAGCGCCTAGGGCAATGGATCCTGAGATAGGCGCCATATTATCTAAAGTTGGCCTACTGCTGCGCTGGAGAGGCAAATGGGCTTTAAACGTTATCCTGCATGACCTTGAAAATGCGCATGCGGCCAACCTTCCCTTCTACCATTCGTTGCTTGTGCAAGCCAGGCAAGCCATTCAGAAATCAGTCTCCTTAGGAGACTCACCAATCATTGAGCAGTTCAAAAGCAAGTGCCATGATGCCCTATCTGCTGCGCTGCCTCGAGTGAGCCCTCACTCAGGCGGTCGCAAGCACAAGCAGGCGCAAATTGCGCTTAGAGCAGTGTTGCGCAATGCTGCTTGTGTTCAGGCGCAAGGATATCTTCGACAAAAAGTTGCGAACCATGCACATGAGAGACAGCTATGTGCCATTTTGCTTGCGCTAAACCTCCCGCCAAAGAACGTGGCTTCGGATGTCACTCGTTGCTACGCACTTAGATGGGCCATTGTTGAAGAAGCCGATGCATATTTTGTGTACAGGCAATATGCCTCTAGGGACGAGCAATGTAGAGTCTGCCTACGCAAACAAACAGGGAAAGAGCTCTGGTATGACAATGGGTTCGGCAGCATGCCAGTCTGCAAACTCTGTCATCTCAACCAAAGCTGCCCTGATGACCTTGCCCATGCCATCAGCTGCATGCTGCCTTGCTGTGATGTTAACCAAGCACCACTCCTGCAATGTGCGGCAATGCCTGGTGCTCCGGCTAGAACTATTACTTACAGAACAGCTATACCCAATGAGCACCAGTGTACTTTCATCCAAAGCCACTGCCTGCTCTGTGGGCTGGGAGCAAACACAACAGAGCATTGGCTTACGGCTTGTGTGGTCACCAAAGCCTCCCTCTTTATTGTCCTAGTCACATTGGGATATGCTGGCACTGCCTCGTTTGACTCCCTGTGTCACACTGCCCTTCCTACGATCAATGTTGAGGGAGGGATTGACAAGAAATTCTGTGCCGTCCCATTAGCATGGATTGCGACCATAAGAAGATATACTATGGAACAGCAATGCACCTGTGAAAAACCAAGCGGACTTTTCCACTACTCTTAGAGCCTGGTGGTTCAGCGGAGTTCTGCAATTCACAACATGCTCTCATGAAATTGGGCTCATGCCAAAATCACGTGAAAACATCTTGTCCTATACATGGGGTGTGTGCAAAGGGCAGGGATGTTAGGTTTCCTCACCCCGCCTGAGATTCGTCTGTACACTACAACGAAACTCACCGAAACCCCAAGTGAAACGAGCCTGGACACCGTAAAGCATGGTATCCGCAAGTGGCTCTCAGCATTTCACATGCAGCTGGATCTCCGTAAAGCCTGGAGTCCGTAAGGCTGCTCACTCAAAGAACATATGCTGACAGTAGCTGCAAGGAGTCAGCACTTTGTTCGGATTGTTCTGATGTACGTGGCAATTCTCGTGATGGAAACATCGGCCTCGGCCTGTGATCACCACTTGTGCAGGTGGCCCTGCACGCTCGCGAGCCCGAATGAGCTCTGTCTCCAGGGCACGGTTCTGGCGCCGCGCCTGCTCCAACTGTCTTGCAAGATCACGACTGACACGTGATGAAGCATCTGCTGTCGCCTGCTGGGCATCGGCCAGTAGGGCTTCAAGCTTCTTGACCCGCATGGTCAGCATCACAAGAATACCACCAAGAATTGTCATGACCAGCATCGCACCGATGACGGTCGGCATCACAGCTGTGTCCCCACCACCTGCAGTGGTGGTCTGAGTCGTGGAGTTCATCTCAGCCTCCACTCCCGCACCATAGCCCTGTGACCCAAGGCTCCAAGATACGTAGCTCAAGATCATGCCCGCAATGGCATAAAGTGTCTCACGACAGTACAACAGCCTGTCGTGCTGTGGAACAAGCATCCACCCATCATGATCATCAGACTCTGTACCACTGCCAATGCAAAATGCAAGGCATACCAAGAAAAGAACAAAGCTGCACATCCACGACCGAGGACTGTAAGCAGACGTAACAGCTTCCGAAGGAATTGGCATCATCATGAGAAGGAGTGCAACACGTTTCACCCATGTGCTGGACGCATCGCCGCCTACCACTGTCCGAACACGCTTGACCTGGGCCTTCATCCCCTCTGTCGCCATGGTTCGGTCCCACTCTTCAGATCCCACTGGCCTGTCATGCATATCCACAAAGTCATGTAGGAACAGCAAACTCTGCAGCCGAGCTGGGGAGAGAGGCTTTGTATGAATGTCACCAAGGTTTGCATGAGTGGAAACATACTTCATGATCAAGCGCTTCTGCTGCACTGCATCTTGCAACCAAAGCAATCGACCTTCAAAATGCTTGCAAGCCTTGGTAACCCCTTGACGCAAACAGAACGCTTTGCAGGACTGGTTGTCAACATAGACGATAAGATCGCAAGGGCTGCGGCTCATGAACTCGACCACCGCCTTCATGAAGAGTCCCTGACAGGAGCTGCCAACGGCACTGTAGTATTCACTTTCCATGGAGGACAAGCTGATGCACTTTTGCGATCGGCACACATAGTGAATATACTGCCCGTTCAGGCAGTAGCTAGCGCCTCCGTATGACCTCCTGTCCCTCTTCGACCCCGACCAATCAGCGTCCGAAAATGCCTCCAACACAAAGCGCTCGGAATCATCCTCTGAACCATGCTCGAACAGTTTCTTGGACCCAGGAGCTGTAGCCTTCATTGCTATCCCATAGTGAGCAGTGTTCACCAAATACTGGATTAACTTCGTCAACCCGATCTTTGCATGTTCTGTCGGCCTTGCCATGTAGGCGGCCAACATCCGGACAGCGTAGCCGACATCAGGCCGGTCACATGAGATGTAAAGAGCGGTGCCAACAGCTTGCCGGAATTTGCTTGCTTCAACATGATCAAGCTCGCAGGTTGTGTCTTTAGCACGAAGTTCAGACCAACATGGTTCACGCTGGCGTACATTCTCCTTGACATTCATGATCTCCTTCATGTGTGTGATGTACGAAGTTGGCTGCCGAATCGTGATCCCATGCTCTGTCAGCGTGTGCAACCGCTTAAGAAAACTGAACGAATGGCCCACTTCATACGCCAACTCATATGTGATCTGGAACCTCTGCTGCACTGTTGGAATGAAACAGTCACGGGCCCAATCGAGCGGAAGCAGGAGCAGCGAATCATCAACGTGTATCATGCCGGGACCTTTGCTCTCACTTGCATGGACACTTGTAGACTTGCTGCTAAAACGGATCACGGCAGGACACTCTTTGCACTTCTCCACTTCAAAGTGTTCTGCAAGGAAATCGTAAAAGTAGTTGAACCACTGCTGCGACCCTTCACGTTGCCCTGGGACCATTTTCTGGAACACAAAATCCTGGCCTTGGATTCGGGATACAACCGGGACTGGTTGGGGAACTTCAAGGTACGCATCCTTTATGTCCAGGGCCACCAGCGCAAACTGTTCGGAAGGGCGAGTCTTCTTCCAGGTCAGGAACAAGGCAGGGAGGAGTCGGACGATGTCGGTGCTCGTCGCGGGGCTGAACAGCCCCTCTTTGGAGTCATCAAGCCACCGGAACTCCCGGGCGCAGAGGCGGGAGCGACGGTACCACATACCGACCCCCTTTCGTTTCTTGAATCTCCATGTTCGAACAAATTTCGTCGTCAGGCCTTTCATCAAGCTCACGTCTTCATTTGGAGTGGCTGCTCTCAAGACAGACTTCTTGATAAGCCGAGCCACCTCCACACTGTCGGCCAAATCATCGAGCTCAGCCAAAATGGCGCTGTCGAGCTCAGGCTCCCTTCCATTGTCGGGAAACCACAGTCGCTCATCATCCTCGCCAGGCGCGGCGACCACATCATCAGTGAAACTTTCGTCCTTCTCGGACGGCATAGACCAAAGATTGGCCTCAGTGTCCCAGCCATCGGGCTGATCCAGGTTGAACTCACTCTCATCATTGACCTCGTAGGTTTGGCTTCCAAACGTCACAGCTCGCAAGCACAGCTTCTTCAAAGGAGGCAGCATAGCCTCAGGGGTGCTTGGGACTCCCTCTCTCATTGGAGGGTTTGCACCGGGCTCATCCACTGCCATACTGCTGTCGGCTGTATTCGGAATCACTCTTGCACTCTCAGGAGGAGGAACACGCCGGGAGCTGCGATCCACAGGAGCCGAGACATCGGTGTCCCCGCCCAACAGCACAGCTGGCGCAACAGCAGGAATGACACTAGGCTCTGCTGGTTCCACTGCAGGTGCTGGCACAACATCAGGCAGCCGTTGCTTTGGCATAGCAACGAACTTTGTTCCGACAACCCCACTCCCATAGTCCCATGGAAATCCCTTCAACTCATTGTAGAGCAAGGCCTCAGTGCTCCAAGGGCGACCCACACGACGTATGGATCGGGAGAGGCGGATGCCATCTTTGCCAGCAATCACATACATGTCATTGGATGAAGACTTTCCAACAAGTATCCCCAACAGCCAGCGCTTGTCACCCTTTTGCTTTGCTTCGACTTGGCAGTACACAGGCTCTGCGAACGGTGCAATGCGGCCACCGTAACTTGCGCCGGTGGCTCTCTCATAAGCAGTCATGTTGCCGATCACGCGATAGCGGTTGATCAGCCAAGCACTGTGCACAAAAGCCCACGCAAACAAGCAATGCGACACAGGCAACGGAAGGCCTGTTCTGGACCGGGCTTGATCAAGCAAAGTGTTAGCCAGCTTTCTCACGGAATCAACGGCCTTCTCACAGAAGCCTAGGGAACCTTTGGCACCGATGGCAGGGTTCTGTGTGATGGTTCGCAAGCCAAGACGCTGCCGCGCAGCCACAATGGCCTTCTGCAAAGCCAGGGTGGACGGCTCGTTGTCACACTTCAAGCAGATGGTGCTGTGGCCTAGACCCTGAATGAACCTTTGGAGCTCTATCCCAAGGTACCGAGTGTCACCCTTGGCTTCACAAGGAATCGCCCCGATACTCCCAGTGGCGGAGTCGTGGCACACAAGACATTTCAGGGCTTGCTGTGCATTCTCCGGCGCACTATCAAGGCTAACCATACCCTTATCTACGGTGTAACCCGTGAAGCAAAAGTCGAACTGGACAACTGGGACATCCCGAGGGCCTTGCTTGAGGAACTCCATCCGATCAGGGACCGCACGCATGGCTATGCAATGCTCACACCACGCTTGGTAAGGGACATGAGTGCATTCGTGGAGAAGACGCTCCTGGGGCGTCGGTTCCCGGGGCACAGGCTGTACCCTGGGCTGCCGTTCCCCCACTGTCTGAGCATCGGCGGCCAGCTCAAGCTCGAGGGCTAGCCGCTGCTTGTCCAAGTAGTTCTTGATGCGAGTGAAAAGACGGGTCTTGGACCCCGCAGTGCTGAGGTTCAACTTGGCGGCTGCAGTCTTCAAGACCGCCAAGCTAGAATCATCCGAAAGCACGACGCCATCAAGCGACACGGGCTCAACCTCACCGGCAGGAGCGGATTCGTCAACCTCAACCTGATCGGGCAATGGCCTGTGTACCGGCCCAGCAGCTTCACCAGACACATCTTCCAAACCTTGCATGACAACTTCCTCAGGCACGACGCGGTCTTGCTCAACAGGACCAGGCGGGTCCTGTTCACGCTTGCGGTAAAAGCTGTAGAAGTTGGGCTCTGGAAGACCTTCGGGCTCAAGCATGCCTTCAGGTAGCTGCACACCGATCTCAGTCACAGGCTCAACTTTCACATGCAGATAAGTGATGACCTCAGCAACCTGTCCTCCGGGAAGCGTCGCCTCCACATCGCGGATCTGAGTCCACGGGACACAATGCTCAAGCAGAAACCAGGTACCGCTTCGCTGCATAAGCGTGCTGCGATATGGCCAAGCAATGGGAGCGATCAAGCTGGGATCAAGGAACCGACTGGAGCGGCCCCGCCACACGAAGTGGCCAGTGGCACCGATATGCCAGCCATACTCAATGGCTTCAAGCGCGTCAGGATCAAGCTTCACTTGGATTGAGGCAACCTGCGAATGCTGCTGCGGGGAATCAGGAGAGCCACCCTCCTGTTCAACACGGCGGATCTGTGCGTCCACCGCCCACGAGTATCCTTTCAGCAGCAAAGGCACTTCAGCGCCTGTCGCATGATGGACCAAAGCCATGCCACCTGATCCAGCGGTTTCACCTTTGCAAACGGGCCACCAACCCCTGTGTGTCAGCCGGCCCAGACTCAGGAGCGGCTGGGTAACATTGGCGACAACGCATCGCTCACGGATCACCACGGGCTTTGGTCCCCCATGCAGCACGAAATCTACAAGTCGCTCAGCTTGCACATGCATCGCACCTCCTTGGGCATCGCAAACCTGCAGCGGCCTCGCACTGGCAGCGCGACCGCACGCTTGAAAGGACGCGGGGATGCATGAGATGTCGGCACCTGAGTCAATGATCACGCTGTGGCTTGGGCTTGAAACTGTTCGGACAAACTGAGGAGCAACGGTGGACTGAAGGTCAAGCTCAGCATAATCTGGGGGAGGCAAGGTCCAATCACCGTTACTATCACCGGAATCCATCCGAAAACTCTGTGGCGCAGTCACAGTTAGCATACGGACATTGGGCTCAAGAGAAAGAACGTCAGCCAAATCTGACATGTCGAACATCATAGGCTCTGCTGTCACACGACGCACAGCAGGATGATCAGACTTGCCTTGCTGGGCCTGAAGAGCACTGGCGGACGAGGGCAAAGTGGTGGAACTGCCGGCATCGGAGGCTGCGGAGGCCTGCACTTGCCTGGCACCCTTAGTCTTACCATCAAGGAAGGCCTTATACTGGTAGCAATCACGCTTGAAGTGCCCAGGCTTGTGGCACCACCCACACAGCGCCTGAGAGTCGCCCTTGGCTTTGCCACCTTTGTCGCCTTTGCCCTTGCCTTTGTCGGTCCTACCACCCTTATCACCCTTGCCTTTGCCCTTACCACCCTTATCTCCTTTACCCTTACCACCCTTGTACTTGCCTCGACCGCCTTTGGCAACGCGATCGACCTCCATTGGCACAACATCGCCGGGATCATGAAGGCCCTTCTTGCCTTCATACAGCCCATAGCTGCTGGCAACACTGGATTGCCACTTTGTCTGAGCACCATCCCACCTGAGCACCAGCTCACGCAGGTCACGGTAGGTGCTGTCGTCAGAGATAACCACATTGGCATGCTGGCGAAGTTGGCCTGTCAAGCAGCTGAGGAGAGTGGCCATTTTGTTGTTTTCAGGCAATCCACCCCTTTCAAGCTGTGCATACTCTTCAAAGGCTGCTTCAAGACGCAAAAGTTGCTGAGCAATGCCCTGCTTGGCATCAAAGCTAGGCCAGCTGTTGATGGTCCGAAGAAGGGCAAGCACACGATTCCTGGTCTTGGGCATCAGGTCATTTGAAAGCAACCTCCAAGCTTCGAAGCCATTCTGGGATGGCACAGAGCGCAACAAGCGGCGACCCCTTTCATAGAGGAGGCCATTCAGCATGCCATACACAATCCTCGAACGGGCCTTCGCTTGCTCACTCAAAGACTCAAGAAGAACAGGCGTGGACTGGCGTGCATACTCATGTAGCTCTTTGTCGAAGCTGGGATCCAAACATGAAAGGTATTGCTCGAACGCCCAGCTCCACTGAGGCCACTGAGCAAACTCCTCGTCACGAGTGGAGGGACGGAAGGGTTCTGGCTTGGGCAACACCTTAGTGAGGTAGAAGAGTAGGCTGCTGCCTGGGCAGCTGCACTTGCAGCCTGTGTGGCTTCAGCCATACGTTGCATCAGGATCTGAAGATCGGTGGCACTCATGGTCAGTGCCCCGCCTGCACTCGAAGGACTGCCGGCGGCAAAAGGGTTCGAGGGAGCCGCTGGGACGCTTGGCCCAGTCAACTCCTCATCTGTCTCATCATCAAGTCCTGTTCCAGCTGCGTGCGCCATTGTTCGAACAGCTAAGCACTGCAATCAGTCAATCTCAATGGCGGCCTCGCCACTCTTCAAAGGTCGAGTGAAGCTGACTGCACGGCTGGACTCGGGCACAAGCAGATCAATTGGCTGCTCGGACGCAGCCTGCAACCTCCTGAATGAAGATCCGGAGGGCTGATTGGAGCTGAATGACAACTGAAAGGCTTCAAGATCCTTGTCAAACAGATCGTGCTCTTGCTCAGGAAAAACCACGCTCCGGACTGTCTCTTCGGGAACAGCCACGTCACAAACGTCGTCCACTGCAAAATCACGAAAAACGTCCTTCAAATGTGAATCCCTCAAACAGCGATGTGCAAATGCCCACACTTCCTCGGGGGTCTTCAAAGTCTCCAGCCTTGCCACAAGAGAATCCTGTGCTGTCACTAGGATATGCTGCCAACCGTACTCTGTCCGAGCAGCTGGCTTGTCTCGTTTCAGCAATTGCTCAAAGTGAAGCTCAGCCACTCGCTTCCGAATGTCCTCAAGAGAAGCAACACTGGCAGCCGTTGCTGCTGCAAGCAATCCGCGGCTCGGCGCCGCGATATGGCAGGATCCTAAACTCGCTGTGACCCTGAACCCCGAAGCAGAAGGAAGCTGAAAGCACAATGGCCCCTGAACGCGAGACCCAAAAGTGAACCACGTGTGTCGGAACTGGGTCGGCCCAGCTCCGCTACCATGAAAAACCAAGCGGACTTTTCCACTACTCTTAGAGCCTGGTGGTTCAGCGGAGTTCTGCAATTCACAACATGCTCTCATGAAATTGGGCTCATGCCAAAATCACGTGAAAACATCTTGTCCTATACATGGGGTGTGTGCAAAGGGCAGGGATGTTAGGTTTCCTCAACCTGGCACCCTGGATGGTGTGAAACACCGCAACGGGCAAAACACATCAGTAACATACCCAAGCTCGCGTCACGTCTTTGGAATACCATCCCGAGGATGTTACTTCCCAAAGCATTACCGGCATGGTGGGTTGACACGGAACGCTGCAAGCCCTGTTGCAACGACGGAGGACTCCATATTGAGGTCAAGCATCCCCTTTCTGCCTTAATTAAAGCAAGCGCCCAAGGTATTACCGTCTCCCCCAGGAATGCCAATATAGGGGATGTCTTAGCAACATTAGATGCACAGCATTACTTGCTTGCACCTATGTATCAACAGGCCCTTGGCGTCCCTAATGTTGCTCTATGGCCTAAAATGTGTCATTGCGGCAATCTGCACCTTAAAGTTACGGCATTAAGACCAATCCCTGCAGGTACTCCACTTATTGTTGAGTTAAAACCTGTCAAAGATACCCACCTTGTTGCTCAATTTGACGGCAGCTGCCACGTGCAAGAAGGTATCGGTGGTGCGGGTGGTATCGTATGGTCGCCCGGACCAGTCCCGGTAATTCTTGAAACGATTGCCATCCCACTCCAGCCTTGTCCAGATTCTATGTTTGCGGAAATATGCGCCGCTGACGCAACGTTAGACAAGGCATTATCTCTAGCTGCTAGCAATCAAATTAGGGAGGTTATCCTTCAGGGCGACTGCATCAACATTGTAAAGCACTTTGCTGGTGCCTTGAGACTACATAGGGAAGACCTAGTGCGAAAACTGGACAACATGTGGCAAAAGTTAACGCACACACCCATTACAGTGCATTGGTCATACGTCCCTCGCGTCGGCAACAAAGTCGCTGATCACCTGGCAGGAATCGCTGCTAACAGTCTCCGCTACGAAGCACCCCTTCATGAAGATGTCTTCTTTGACTCGGGTGAGGGTCAGCCTCATATGCAAATAAACACTGAGTGCTTTCCGCCTATTCTGTTGCCTTCCAAGCAATGGCACCTGCAAGCTATACAGGACTTGCATTCCGGAGCTGAAATTATTTCTCTTGAGGCCCCCCCACTTTGGAATCCGGAACTGCTTTTGCGGTTTTGCCTCTACAATCGGATCAAGCCTCCCCCCGAGCTTGATACAACGTGGCCAGGGCTGGTCCAGTATCGAAGGCCATCTTTGCACCCACAGGGTAGATATTATGCCATACGGCACTGGCAAACGAGTAAAAGGCTAACACGTTTCTTGGCCATCGGACCGAACGCAATTGAAATCGACATGAAAGGTGCGCATTATACGCTTTTGCGCCTCCTTACATGTCACAGCCCTACTCACCCACCCCTCCCAACGTTGCTTGAAGCCAGGGAGCTATTTAGTAGTCACCTTGCACGCGCGCCCAAAGCACAAACAGTACAAACCAAGCACTTGTTGCAAAGAGCAGTTGGAATGGACAGCAATGCTTTCCATGTTTATGAAGGTAGTATTGCTGCTTGTGCCATCCCCCCTGCCTTGGCAAGTTTTCTTGCACATTTGGTGCAGGCTAAAGCTACCCTCCAGGTTATGATCCAGCAAGGAATCCCTTTTTACCAACCGGATGCAAGGGTCAACAACAGGAATTGGGCAACTTTTGCACTTGAAGCTGCGGAAAGCTTCGTAATGCGAAAAGGGCTCGCTGCAATGCTCCCGTACTGCGCAGGCACAGTGCTTTGGGTACATGACGGGGTGTACGTCAAAAATAGAAACGCAGTTTCACCCTTCATCGAAGGGGCTACTGAAGCGTTGGTTCAGCTCATCCAGGTGGGGCAGCACTGTCATCCACAGGTCACACCTAACCAGGAATTTGCTAACCTACAAGATGTCTTTGCTATTACCACCACGAAGAGTGAATTTAATGTGGCAGTTGATGCGTTAAACGCTGCGGGTATCGCGTGTCATACCCTGCTCTCCCAGAGCACCCAAAGGCCCATCCAAGCGCTTTTCCTGGAAGTTCAGGATATACTAGAGGTCGAGAGGCAAAGAGACGATAAAAGGAGACGCGTTGATGTTACAGCTGTTCCGCGTAGGGGATTGTGGGTAACACCCCCCTCGTAGTGATGCGTGTAGTCCCCATTTCAACCGGCTCAGACCAGTTGTGAACGCCCGGGCACAACCAAACATGCTGGCCGCCACACGCTGCCTCCTGGCTTGGCGTGACCATGAAGCCATTGGTAGTCATTCCAGCACAGCTGACTTCGAACTCACAGTCCTCCCTGCTGCAGCGGGAGCGATCCTCGTGGCTCTCTCAGAGGAAAGCAAGTCGAACGAAGCCCTTTCCCCGTACCATAAGGATCGTTTATATCGAGGCGTCTCCTTTGGCAATCCACTGATCATTCACGAGATTGTCGAGGATCTAGATGAGGAAAAACTCCTTGCATGGACTCTCATTGAAGTCATTGCAAAGCTGGACGCTGCCACTCAACCTCGCGCTAACGTGTCAATGCTATGGAAAATAAGTGCACCAAATCTCCGTGCCATCTCGTGCGTTGGAGAACGTGCGCTTGCCCAATCCGTGAAAAACCGAAGGTCCCTCTGGTACCTTTTCCCTTGAAAGCACGAACCCTGACCTCTCACACAAGTGCGGACAGCTCTCTCTTTTTCACAGTCAGAGCCACTTGAGCCAAAAGTCACGAAGTGCACAAACTAAACGAATTCTCTCTTGTGAGCTTAAACTCAGCTTCAGAACGAAGTTCCTACACACTGCACACTCACTTTAAATAGCGTATTGGGCAAAACACACTCGTATGATTTCCTTGGAAATCAACGAGGCATAAACCATCGAGGATGGGATCACACGGATTCCCAATCACTCCGAAGCAAAACAAACCTATACAAGCTGATCCAAAACATGACAAAAACATCAATGATCAGCCACAATCTTCCACCCCCCGCATTTTGCTGAGGGTTCATGTCAAAGATCTGAAGTCCAAGCCCAGCTCGGCACTTCAACACTAAGGGGATGCCCTGGCCACATTCCCTTGGTGCGTACTCGCCACCAAACGAAACAAACAACACACCAGTCGATCTCTGACATCAAACTTAAAACTCATGCAAGATCCCACCATCAGGCAGGTTGTCCTGGGTCCACATCACTGGTAACCCAAGAGTTCGTTGTCCAAACACGTGAAAAACGAATTAAACTTGCATCCACCTGCACTGGGGCAGGGTTGTCTTGGAACGAATCCAAGAGTTCGTGGTGACAAACACGTGAAAACGAATTAATGCAAGCTTCAGATGTTTCCCACTCAGCACTCGACCTTGTCGTGGTACTCCTCCTCAGTCTCGCATCTTCCAGGTCACCAAACTCACCAACTAGCATCGGCTAGCTGATCCTTCAGGAAAAGATTGGCTTCATAGTTTCGCTTCTTCCAGCGTACCATCAGCCAAAAACGTCTTCAGAGGTGGCAATCAGACGCCTTGCAGAAGGGGCTATAGAGTCCCTCGTTGAGTTTCATCATCATTTTGCCTCCTCTTTGCAAACTTCTCATGCACTGAAACAAGGGCTCACACTAACCAGAAAAATCGCGGGCGCTCCATGGCGGCAACGCGGCCATGGCTTCCAAAAAAAATGGCTGCGGGTTTCACTCACCCACCCAACCACTGAGATCACTTAGCATCTCAGTTCATTCTTCATCCTCTTCGCCCTTCTTCTCGCCAGCTCCAGTTGACTCCATCAACTTGGCGCGGCGCTCCTTGGCGGCTTCCTTCATCTCCGCCAACTCAGCCGTCCTCGTTTCCATCATCACCTCCTGCGAAGATCGGCTAGGCTCAGCTGGCGTCTCCGCAGGCCTCTCAGTTGGCTGGTCTCCAACCTTTCTCTTCTTCTCTTCCAACATCAGCTCCAAATCGGCAACACTAAAGCTTGCCTTCACACGCTCAGCAATCTGCGCGATAGCTGCTGCATCCAACTCAGATGGTACAACTGACACAGGCGAGCGAACCGCTTCGCCTTCCAGCTTTGCTCTCTTAGCAGCTTCTTCCTCGGCAGCTGACAGGTCGGCGATGCGCTTGCGCTTTCGCTCAGCTTCCTCGAACTCTCGGTCTTGCTGTTCCGCTGCAGCCTTGAGGATCCGCTTCAGGTCCTTTTCCTCCTTCTCGAGTTTCCCAACATTCTCACCCATGATCCCAAAGGCTTGCTGCCACATGTCGGCAGGCAACGTCAAGTTGAACCTCACCACATAGTCGGTCGGCAAGTGCCACTTACACTTGCAGATCCACACAACACCGCTTCGAGTCTCACTCGCAACCACCTTCTTCCAGCTTGCCGCCCTCTGCGTGTCGGTGATCTCCTCTTTCTTTTTCTCCAGGTCCTCCAAGAATCCTGCAACAGACTCCATCACGGATCTGTAGTGGCTGTAGGCCACAAACGACCACTTGGGGACTGGTCTCTCCCTCAGCTCCGGCTCGTGAATCCGAAGTGTATCACACGACAACATCGAAATCACTCGCACTCGCTCCACCAGTTCCTTAAACACCAAGGATCCTTCCTTTGCACTTCTCTTCCAGCGCAACACCCATGGGGGATAATACGAGCTCTCAGCTTCATCCTCCATGATCCTCTCTGCTCCCAAAATGGGTAGCATGCACAACAGATCCACCATCCGCAAGACTCCGAGGTCCTGGTGCTCACCCAGAAGCAAAACAGGGACTATCCCTTTTCTCTTCAAGTACCTCACGAAGCTCAACATCGCCAGGCCACACGTTCCCGGCGGTACTTCCATGTACAGTCCTCCTTCATTCACTGCCATCTCCCAGATGATGGCCTTGCCACCAATCTGTCCACGGACATCCAAGATTCCGAAGATCTTCGTGGGTTTCTCCT